CAAGGGTTCGCGCCCATTCTAAACTTTCGCGAGCCACAGCGGAGCACTTGGTCGCCGTTGCATAATTTACGAGCGTCCAAGGATGGAACACTTTGCGTCTCGATTTCATCCGAAATATTTGTTATTGTGTCATAACGATATTTGTTTAGCAAATAAAGCCTGTCTGTTTGTTATACACTGCTACATAATTCTCGTGTGATAATTTACCATTAAGGAACAAATGAAAATAATGATCAAACGAATGACTTGCAGGTTCGTGGCGTAGAAGTGGGCATAGTGGTGTTGGTGTTGATGTTTTGGGTGGGCGCGATAGTGCTGTTCTTCAATCGTTGGGGAAAGATTCGCATGTTGCTGCCATACCAACCTGATTATAAGGAACAATTGAAGGTTCCAGGGACTGGGGTATGCACAGCGGCAAACGCCGCGTACACGCAACACCCGACTCAACACACTTGCTCTCAGGTAACGCATAATGACACACTACCTTACCGCTACCTTAATCTTTCATTTTACCTAAAATGCAGAAATATCACGTTGGTATTAATTGCCGCTCGATTTATTTTAAATAGCCCAGCTTATTCTTCCAGGAGAACAGTAACACTTGATTTCCTTCGTAGTTTTCTTTCGTTCGATCCTTGATTATTTCGTTTGAGAAGGTAGTGTAAGTAAATTACACGTACCGTTGAAATTCATTTTCATGAATTGAAAAATATCAATTTTGACAAGGTATAGAGAAAAAAGTGCTCAAGTTGAAATTTATCCACAGCTCGCCCATCAAATTACTTTGAAATTATACACGCTAGGAGTAATGTAAAACTTTTTGTACATGTATAAATACCCGGTTATATTGAATTTATCGATAAATTGACGTAACGTTGTTCACTTCGAAACGAATATTGTTACTGAATATTCAAGGTATGATTTTCTCGATGATCGAAAAGGCGGTATTGCGAAATATGCATATACAGGGTGAGTCGCCTGAGAATGGAACGTGAAGTATCTTCGAAACTGTCGATTACACCGATAAATGTTTCGGACGAGAGTTCAATGGTGTCAAAAAGGACATAATTTGACGCTGTTAGTTTCTTCTTAAGTAGAAGCGTAGAAATTTGTTTTTTTAAATTGCTTCGACTCGCCTTTCTCTATAGAGAAGTATCAATCTATTATTTATACCAAAATACCATTAATTTAGGTGTTATTTAAATTTCAGTATTGCAACGTAATACCAGTACACCTAAATACTTACATCTACGGTCTTTAAATGACACGTGGGTTCTTTTTCTATAAAATGATAAAGGGTAATGATTCGAATCCATCTAAATATACCATTTTATATGTGATAATATGTTAATCTTCAGATGATTCATCAATCTGCATGGTTACAGACAGAATTTACGTTAGGACATTAAGATTGTCTTTTTCATAGGGGATGACGAGCTGAATCGGTCGAATCCTTCAAAAATATAATACGATTTTATTGAAAAAAAGAAAACAAAGACCTTGATATTTCCTCTATGCGTTCACATAAGAAAAAATTAACCACCGAAACATTTTTCGGTATAATCGACAGTTTCGAAGATATTTCACGTTTCAGTCTCAGGTCACTGACCCCATATACACCACAACATTGTAAGCGCAATATCGATAGTTGAGTTATTGCGAAAATTTTGGACGATTAAACGGGTTTATGTTGAAGTCGAAATTTCGGCCTGACCTTTCATCATGCAGTTAATATAATCACTGCCGTAACTTCATATGCACTTGGTAATTTACGTTTCACGAGTATATTAAATTACCTTTTAAACGTTAAATGATTTATGCGGTCTATTGATATTCGAAAGATGTTCATAAAGTGTTCGTGTGCAAACATTAGGTGTTAACAGCATTATAGGGTTCGTCTTACATTTTCATTCAAATAACTTCTGTTTTTTTTTTTTCTATTTAGTCTATTCTAAACAATGTAAATACTTTAAGACTACATTCCTTCATACGTAAATTTGGTTTTTCTTTTTAAATAACAAATTCATTTCTATCTTCTCGAAGTACAGTTAGAAAATACGTGACAATTTTTTTACGAAAGATAATTGTTACGATGATTCTGGTGGGCTGTTTTCATTCACAATTTGTTCTTCGAACAGTTGGTATGCGATAGGAAATGACAGATTTAGATACGCACACTCAGACGTAAAATCAATTCTACACGTGACATGGTAAAATATGTTAATCAGATTCGTAACATAAATGGAGCAACCATTTGTTACAATTAATCAAAATCTACTTAAACTTTAGTTAAACTTTAGTTAAAACTTTATTCACAAGTCTTGATTCATTTAGTCTGTACGATTGGTTTATTTAATGTTTCTTGTTTTTGAAATCGCACTTCTCCAAAAATTCGATTCACCTGAAAGGTATAATTTTGTAATTTTCGTGAAATTGTTTATAATTGTATATTCTGGCAGGAATTCTATTTGCTTCTTTCAACTAACAACTGGTTGATTAGAAAATTTTAATTTATTTTCTGCACACGATAAGGCGAACTCGAACAGTCAAATTGTATAAATACTTTCCTGTTGTTTTTATTCTTAACATTGCTCCGGAATCAAAAATCATTTCAGAATAATTTCAATATTTACAATGGATAATAAGAACGAAACATATAAGAAATGTATATTACAAAGTGTGTATTACATGTTATAAATTAATTAATCTAAAATGATCATTTAATTTCGTTTATGAGAAAAGAAAATGTGGTTCCAAGTTTTTCAAGATACAATATTTAATAGTCACTTATAAATGGAGCACCCTTAATAATTATTTTACTTTGTTATTTCAATTAAAAATTTAATAATAAGTAGAAATATAGAACAAGTTACTTTTGTAATTGTAATTCTGTCGATACGTGAAACGATACGTAAAATAAGACGCTTGTACCATCAGTTACATGGCGCCCTGTGTATACAGGGTGGCAAAGAAATAGGTGGCCAAACTTTGGTACCATATTCTACTGTTGCTAAGGATGAAAAAAGTCATGCAATCATAGGTTTGAAAATTCTTCCTTTCTGAGATATAGACACTGTTCGATTACGACGGAGTATTGTAGGAATGTTTAAAACTTAATTAAAAGAACTGCTGAAAAATGATTTCCTTCTGCAGCAATAAATGCTTCGCGTCGACGTTTCGAAGACTGTCGAAGACGTTGTTTACATTTATACAGCAATAATCCAGTTTTTTTTAGTATTTCTAGGCTACCAATAGTGTTATTATCGTAAGCAATATACAGGGTGTCCCAGATAACACTTACCACGATTTCTTCGCCTGGAAATACTCAAAAACCGAACTATTGCTGCGTGTAAAGAAATTCGGAATGCACCAGGAATTTTCGATCATTTCCGACGGTCTTTGAATTATTTACAGCAGTTTCATTAATTAACTTTTAAACATTCCTACAATACTCCATCATAATGGAAAAAGTGCCTTTATCTCGGAAAGGAAGAATTTCCAGACCTATCTTTGTACAACCTTTTTTCATCTTCTAGAACAGTAAAATACGGGTCCCAAGTTTGGCCACCTATTTCTTTGTCACCCTGTATACAGGGTGTCCCACGTAAGTATCGCCACAAAGTTTCAACACTTGCTTTGAATTTCTAAGAAAATGTGTTGGACAAAAATTAAACCATATTTAAATGTGCGTAATTTTCCTAAATCACAATTTTTTTGTCTGCATTTTTTTCAGAGATACGAATTATTTTTTAAATATTGTTTGTTAGAACAAATCTTGACGCGTCGCGTCTAAAATTATTTAAACCCATGTCCAAGCTTCACCAAAAGCCAATCGAACACGAAAAAACAACGGTAATTCATTCGTGAATCTAATATCGAAGCACTGTCGGGATTCAACTGTTAGCTGTAAAAATTCTCATCGATGCTCCCCGTATTTAATCGGATGATGCATGGACGAGCAAATTTCAGAAACGTCGTTATCGAACGAATATGAATTGTATCGTGAACCCAGTATCGGCATTCGTATCAAGCGAATGTTGACTCCGGACGATTCATACGTCAAATCTATCGCACACAAACAGGGTACGTTCTGACGTGTCAGAGATATCGATTTAATCAGATACTGGTGAATTTTAATTGGTTAGTGCGCGTAATCACGGTAGCGGAGGAAACTAGTGCTTCCAGCGAAAGCCATACATCAAAAAGACGGATCGTCTCGGGTCGGATATTGAACCGAGGGATTGTAGGTTCTTGGTTGCACAGTGCCCACTTGTCAATGTCTAACTTTCGTTCCTTTCAATTTTGACGGTACAACTTTCTAAATTTACAATATTTTTGCGTACCGTTGTTTATAGTTAATACGCGCCTGTTAAATAAAAGTTGAATAATCTGCTGATCGTTATTCGAAATTCCACTAATAATGATATTATGCAAGATATTTGTTATAATTACTTTTTACAATTTAATAAGAGAAATTGTTCGTTGAAGTCCGGATTTTTCTTGGAAAACACATTTTGCTGTAGAAATTTTTAAACTACATTTCCTCTTTGTCGCAAAAAAATCGACATTATTTTGCTTCTGTAACGGAACATAACTTTTCTTTATTCTGTTTTTATAATATATGATAGATCATATTGAAACAAAATTCGAATAATATTCAGATTTTCGAGATTGCTGTGCGATTTTAATATATGCACAAGAAGACATAAAGTTACTAGTACCGTTATTCGTTTATCGTCACATATTTTTGTACATAAATGTAGTTACGTGCACATATGTGTAAGGGGGACCGGAAAGGAAACCATTATTTTGCTTTTTGTCGAGACCAAAAATAACGGATCTCTTTTCGATCCCCCTAATATAATACAGAACGCGGCCGAAGGTATTTTACAAGCTAAGGAGGTGATTCCTTATGCAAAAATGAATAATAAATGAAGAACACAATTTTTTCATTCGAGGCTTAGTTTTTGTGAAAATCGGGTTTGAAGATCCGTGGGGTTCGCACCGCTTAGTTTCTGTGAAAGTCGGTTTGCAGCGCAAACCCCACGGATCTTCAAGCCCGATTTGCACAAAAACTAAGCCTCGAATGAGAAAATTATATTCTTCATTTATTATTCATTTTTGCACGAGGAATCACCTCCTCAGCTTGTAAAATACTTTCGGCCGTATTTTGTACATGTATGCATACATATGTATGTGATTTGTAAACACTTTATTAATTTAAAACGTAAGTGTACAGTTTTTCAACGTCACTATCGATATTATTTAAGAACATCAATGAATTGAAAATGTATATAAGTTCACGAAGAATTCAGTTTATACAAATTTTACAAGAAGGATACGGACATAGTGCACTATGAAAGATGACCGATTAGCCGATTGCTATTACCGTTATTAATATAGATTTTGGCAGTAACCACGACACTCAAGCTCGAGCTATCAGTCTTAATAATTATTGGAAA